TCACTACAGACCCTCTAATTCCAAAGGAACTTGTTTTCTCCATCTTCAGCTTGCTGAGGCCGTTCAAGAATTCCAAGCTAGCACCCAACGCCTCGATTCAGCTGTTGCTGCTGCCCAGCACCAAGAGCTGCTGCAGCCTCCCGAATAGTGGGGACCAGCTGACCCCCAGCTCTGCAGCAGAAGGCTTCTCAGAACACAGACACTCACACGGCATCCCCCACATTGCAACACTCACAATACAGAAGCATTATTCCAAATCTTACCCTGTATTTATGCCACAAACCACCCAGAGCCCAGTTCCTGTCCATCCCCTGCGTTCACACTCTGGACTCTTGCCCCTGCCCCTGCCCTTCCAGCTCGGCTCCTCAGGAGCCACGGGGCAGCTGGGTTCCCCTCGGGGTGCCCCATGAAACAGGGCACCCCTCACTGCTCCACACGGATGGCTGAGCCCCCGCTCTCAGGCTGACCCAGAGCATATTTTCTCCACCACTTGGCCTTTGCCCTTCTCCCCACACTCTCTGGAGGAGGCTGTGTTGGGGGCCACAGGTCACTACTACAGTGAAGCCCCAGACAGAGGTCTCAGCCAAGCTGTGCCACTGACCCCGCACCCACCTGGGGCTCTGCCAGGGGCACCCCGAGCCCTGCCCGGGGACTGCAGGGAGCAGCCAATCAGAGAAGCAACCACAGAGCATCCAGTGGAATCAATGCCCTTCTGCAGGAATCCTTGTCCCCAGTTCTCCACCTGCCCCCCCGTGCCTCACCACCCGCTCCATCCGCCCCACAGGGCCCTGGCAGCGCCCGCGGGGACCCGCTGGCACCGTTCAGCCACCTCAGCACCACACCTCCCACACCAGGCTGCTGCCCTGGACGCCTGCACAGCTTGGCAGGACACCCACCAGCCACCTCAGCACCACACCTCCCACACCAGGCTGCTGCCCTGGACGCCTGCACAGCTTGGCAGGACACCCACCAGGGTCCTGACTCCGCAGACACAGGGAAATGCTAACCCATCTCTGTCTCTGACTGCAAAATAGTTCTGGTCTGAGTTGCTTCACTGCCTCAGGAATAGGGAAATTGCTTCAAATGAGATTCTTCTCCAGTACCTAATGCTCTCAGAAGTATATCATGGCCTGTACCAAGTCATGCAAAATTCAAGCGTAGATCATGAGTAGTCAGTCAGTCAGGCACCACCAGCACCATTGCTGGGCTCAGATCATCCACAAAGATGCTTAAGAAATTTTCCCTTTCTTCCCTCCTAATTACATCGTGCATATAAGACATAAATATGTGCAGTTTGGATTTAAATTGTTCACAGGCTCCCTAGAGGAAAATAATTTTCAAACACTGACAGTGTTTAAGATGCAGCTAACCAGCACTGCCACCTTTACGCTGCCTTCAAAAACAGTGAGAAATGCATTACAGAAAAGTTATTTTTATCAAATTTAATTTGGATTATAAATTTCTGTAATAAATAAAAGCTTGCCAAGTCACACAGATTTTTTTTCCACTGGGGTATTCATTATTTTGTCACATTCAGAACACTGCCTTCATGATTTTACAGACTATCTCTTATGTAAAAAGAAACAAGACTATAAAATAAAGACACGTGTTGTAAAAAGGGGTTTCCAGGCCGTGGAGATGTGGTGCTGAGGGACACTGGTTAGTAGTGACCTGGCAGTGCTGGGGCAACAGCTGGACTTGATCCTAAAGGTCTCTCCCAACCCAAACAATTCTGTGATTCTATGATTTTCTTGCCACCATCAGACACACACGAAAGATTTTGTGTTCCAAAGATGGAGCATCAGCTGCTCAACAAAGAGTGTCCATGGCCCCTGTGGCCACAGCCCCACTGGCACTGGCCCTGCAGCCAAAGGGACACCCAGGACAGCTGGAGGAGCCAAAGTCCTGGAGCACAAACCCCCTGGCAGAGCTCTTTGGTACCTCACCCAGCGCTGAAGCATTTCAATAGGGCTGTCCTTTAAGCAGTTGCAATTAGGCTCCAGGGTTAATAGCCCATTAAGAATTTCCTATTTTGCAGCACAAGCACAGTCCCCACAGCCTCACTGGCACCACCTGAACGTGTTCACAGCACAGCCCCTTGGAACTGCTTTTTAATAAACACTGATGCCTCCACCACAAAGCTATTCCCACCAATCCTTCAGAGGAGCATGTCCCTCCACGGGACACACAGATGAACACTCTCCTGGCAGAAAAGGATCATTCTAATTAATTCCTAAATTTTGGTTGTTTTGTTTGAACACAAGATAAAGCTGTATGAGAAAAGGTGACAACGGAAGGCAGCCTAGGCACATTCCTTCTGCTAGATAAATGAGGAAACAGGCAGAAAGCAGCGTGCTCCCAGGATGAGCATGGCACAGAGGGCATCGATCCTCCATCGGCATATTCCTGCTCAGGCAGGGGCTCACGGGAGCCCACCATCGACCAGCAGTGCCCCGGAGCACGGAGTCATTACTGCAATGCTGGCACAACATTTGGCCAAGTAAAAACATACCCTGTGCTGCTTATACACGTGTCAGGACAATGGCTGTGACAGGCTCCAGGGGAACCCTGTTAAACGTCTCAATTAACTCCCGTCCTTAGGAATTCAGTAACTCACCTGCCCGGTGAAGCAAAACAAAGAAAATTGGACTTACTACCACAGTGTTTTAGGGAGAGTTTATTTTAATAAAACTGATTTCTGGACTCATCTTAATGTCCTCCCATCTCTCCTGCATGCTAATGAGCCTGCTCGCATGGATCACTCCTCTCCCCCGAGGGCAGATCTGCTCTTTTTCCTATCACAGCAGTAGTTAGGGATGGAGGCTGGTGTGGCCCTCCAGACTGGTACCTGATCCTCCCAGGAGCCAAGGCTGCACACAGCTGTCATCTGCAGTCTCCAGAGGAGGAAGATGAGACAGGGATCAACTCACTTTCATAACTGAAAAATTAACTCAGTGATTCAAGCCACAGACCCAGATCTCTACTCAGCAGCTCATCTTCTAGCTCAAGCTTTCCCTCAGTAAGAAGAATTAAACAACCTTATTTTCATACTGCAAATGAAGATCTCAAAACATCCCCCCAAACCACCATCTAAAGGCAGCTGCACTCTGCAGGTTGTTACCCAAACCCCAGAACACGGCAGCAGGTCTGCCCCACCATCACCTATCCAGACAGGGCACACAGGCCGGAGGAGGCAGGGGAGGCAGCAGCCTGTGTGCATCCTTCCCAGGGTGGTGCTGGGCTGCAGGGCTGCTCCTGCTCTCGAGCCCCCGTGGGGGCACACAGCCCCTGGCACAGCCAGCTCCTGCTGTGACCCACCAACCCCCCTCACACCCTGTCCCCAGGCACAGAGCTCAGCCCTGCAGAGCTGCCCAGCCACACTGCCAGCTGCAGCACCAGCCTCAGCACCTGCTCATCACAGCTTCACTCTCGTTGGGAGAGACCTTTCAGATCACGGAGTCCAACCCTCCCCCAGCACTGCCAGGTCCCCACTGCCCCGTGTCCCTCACCCCACATCTCCACGGCTTGGAAACCCCTCCAGGGGTGGGGACTCCACCACTGCCCTGGGCAGCCTGGCACAGCCCTGGGCAACCCTCCAGGGCAAGAAATTGTTCCTCAGGGGCAACTGAAACCTCCTCTGGGGCAACTTGAGGCTGTTTCCCCTTATCATGTCCCTAGTCCCTTGGGAGCAGAGCCCGACCCCCCCCTGGCTCCAGGCTCCTGTCAGGAGCTGTGCAGAGCCAGAAGGTCTCCCCTGAGCCTCCTTTGCTCCAGGCTCTGCACCCCCAGCTCCCTCAGCTGCTCCTCCCCACACTTGGGCTCTAGACCCTATCACAGCTTCATTGCTCTTCTCTGGACATTCTCCAACTGCTCAATGTCCTTCTTGGAGTGAGAGGCCCAAAGCTGAACCCAGGATTCACAAGATGTGTCCTCACCAGTGCTGGAATGTTGGTGTCTAGAGCACATGTATTTACCAGCTCATCACTGGCACAGTTTTCAAGAACAAAACAGCCACTTGCTGAATTCACCCCTCCTCTTTCTCATCACCCTCTCCTCATGAGGGATGAGAATTATCAGATGCTCTGCAGCTCTTCTAGAGCAAGGGGCTGCTCAGTCCCAGCCAGGGCAAGGTGTGAAGCAGGCTTCACCTCCCTGCCTCTGCTTTGAAAAACTTCAGGACATCTGGTTTTACCCAAGCTGCAAGGAAAGTCCCAAAGCAGTGGCTTTGGGTTTAGAGCTCTTATTTTGTTGCTGTTCCCTTATATTTTTCCTTTGTTTGTTGCAGGAGCTAAGGATGGATACCAGGCAAGCCTGAGATCCACTCACATCTCTTTAGCTTTTGACAATATTCACCCTTTATAGAATTGAGATGAGTAATGAACTGGCACAAAACCTCAAGCATCATGGGCAGTACTTAAAGTTTCTTCCAAGATATAGTCAATTATCAACAAAATGGCAAAGGTAATATTACCAGAAGCATGAGGGACTGACCCTGGATTCAAGGTCCCGCAGTAATACTCCACAACAGATTTCTGCGAAAACATTTTCCAGGGGAGAATGGAAAAAAAAAAACACAACAGGAAAAAAAAAAAAAAAAAAAAAGGCAACTTCAAAAGCAAGCAGTTTATTTGTGCAGTGCCTGATGTTCATCGAGGCACACTTCAGTGCCCAGAGCCATGAAAACACTGCTTTTGAGGTGACATTTGTAGTTGCCTCATTACTCTTTTCAAAAGAGTTTTGCATCAAAGAGTCGGAGCTTCAAACAACAGACCCTACAGGAGTAAAATAACTTATTAACAGCACATGAAATGGAATCGCCAGGAACTGCTGATACCAAACCAGGGAGGACAAGTGTGACACCAAGAGCCAGGCTGTGGCAGCGCCGGGCAGGCTGCCTGCACCCCAGGGACCCGGGAGGCTGGCGAGGTGCCACTGCCTGCTGGGCGTGCCACCCCCTGCCCACCACTCCCCCCAGAGAGAGGGCCTGGGAACACACCCACCTTCATGTTCTTTCTCCGTTGTTCCGATTTTCTTGATCTTTTTGGGTGATTTCATGAAGAGAGGGAAGATGGTCCTCAGACCAAGAATGTCCACGAACTTGTGGCAGTTGTCTGTACCCTCTGGGCCAATCATGGCGTGGTCCAGCACCTTCAGGGCACTGCTGCGGGAAATCTTCTTCTCCCTGTGGGGAGAAAGGGGCTGGTTAAACTCTCCAGGGGGCTGGTTAAACTCTCCAGGGGGCCGGTTAAACTCCCAGGGACACGAGGAGCCTCGGACCACACTGCTTTAAACAGCCAGCATGAAAAGGAAAGTGAATGCAAGGAGAGAATGAAGAGTCTGAGCACAAGCTCTAAGCAAGATTTTCTTCAAGATGCAAAAGGATTCTATCCACAAACACTCTCTTCAAACCGTGGTTGAGAACACTCTCTTGGTTATTTATTTTTTATTATCTTTTATTTCTTTTTATTTTCTGTTTTCTTTTTACTTCATTTTATGTGTTTTATTGTTATGGTTTTATTTTCGTATTTTTCATTTCTTGGCTATTGAAGAAGTTCCTTCTTACAAACACTAGCACAAAATAGGAAGGGGAGACTGGGGGGCATATGGAAGGCAAATACTGCCACAAAATAAAAAGATCAAGTTGTAGACAGAGCAATAACTCCATTTAACAAAGGAGTAGGTTTGGTGAGCATGGCTTGGTGGTCAGTTATTATGAAGAAAATCCCATCTCCAGAATCACATCTAGAAGGTCACAGACAGGTTCTGGGCTATTCTGTTTTAACATGAGTTCAGAATGCTCATGCTGGTAACTCATACCAGGAACACACAGATGGTCAGAAAATGACCTCTAATGGTCCTGTGCCCTTCAAACCAAAACCAGAGGAGTTTAAACAGGAGAAAATTTAAAATACCTTGTGAGACAGAAGTCACTTACAGCCCCGAAAACGAACAGACCAGGTAAACGTCCACAGGAGCCAGCATGAGCTGAAGAACAGAGCCCCCAGTGCCCTCCAAGGCCAGGTCAGCCCAGGAGGACATTCTCCCCAGGGCAGGATGGTCACAAGCCCCACCACCTTCCACCCCAAGTGCACGGCAATCTCCTCTGATCTTCTCTTCTCTAAGAGAATTTATCCTCTAACAAATACGCAGTTATGTGCACATATAAAAATAAATCCCCCCGAAACAAGCTGTGCTCCTCCCCTGGGGAGACAAGGGAACAGTTCTCCTCAGAGACACACCAGCTGCTCTGCGCTGCCATGCAGGGCTCACATGTGACTGTGGATCTCTGAAGATCAAACCACTGGTGCAGCTCAGCCCCTGCTGCTTTCCCCCCGTGGAGGTGGCAGCACCCTGCTGCCCACACATCCCCCCAGAGCCCAGCAGCGTGGGAGCAGCCTGCAAACAGCACAGGCTGAGCTACCCAGACCTCACAGCCATCAGTGGGGGCATCTCACCCACAGAATCTTGAAGCCCAAGCTCCAGAGAGCTGTGGAAAATACCCTGCCATCAGAGATCCAACTCCATGAACCCCCAACAGCATGTAAACTAAACCCCTGGTATTAACACCCCAGCCTAAAGGGAAGCTCCTGTGCCCAGTGTGGCTGTGGGTGCTCCTGACGCAGTGGCTGGAGGCACCACGTGCAGCTGGGACAGGGAGCAGCAGCAAGGTCCACCCAGGAGCAGAGAGCAGTGCAGGAGGGTGGCCCAGCATCCCCACCTCCCCTCTACAGGCAGCTAAAAATAAAGCACTTCTAGGCCAGACAATATAAGAAATGTTTTCAGGGGAAGTAATTGCATATTGATCAGCATTTAGGAAGGCTGCACAGAGCTGATCTCTGGAATATTCATTGGGTTTAAGTTCAGGCTTTTAGAGATCAATAGCTGCTTGACTGGGCTGTCTAGAGTTGATTTTATTTGAAATATTTATTCTGCCAGAGGGTGAGCAGTTTATCTTAGTCTTGTCTGTGCTTATTGAGGTAACTTTTAGCTGAGCACTAATTCAAAGACAAGCATACGTGAGTCTTGCCAAAGAGGGAGTGACCTCTGTCTTCCCAGGGAACTCTGAGTTACAACTTCATTTGCTGAACATTGCTATCCTCCTTTTAATACCTTTCCATCTGAGAGGAGGCTTTTGGTACATTTACTGTTTCAAAAAGGAGAGATGCTAACGTTATTTGGACTTTCTACATTAGCATAAAAATTTCTCATGTTCCAAAATAGTAGCAAAAGCAGAATACTAGATTTCCTGGGGAAGTGTTGCATAAAGTGGTTCCATTTAATTAACCAGAAGATTTAGTAAAGAGACAGTCTGAGTTTCCATGGGGTCATTAGGAACAGCAGGACAAGAAAACATAAAAGGATTTTAATAATCAAAAAATACACCCTAAAATAGCTGGAGTCAAGCTTCGGGGAGCTGTGCAGGGTTGTCCATTTTCACCTTGTTTTTGCTGTACAGGAGCAAATGCTTCCTGGAGGGGCAGGAAAAGCCACTGGGCAGCTGCAGAGCCCAGCCCGTGCTGCCCAGGTGACGTGCACTCCCCGAGCTCCCATGCTGCACCCCCCTGTGCTCACACACCAGCCCCCCCTCATAGCTGGGAAAGCCACACGTCATTTTTCCTATGCAAGAGAATCTTCCTGACACATCCCCTGAGAAGCCAGTGGCTGCATCTCCTCCAGACCTTAACACAATTTTACAGCAAAAGCAATAAGCTTCCTGTTGCTGGGCGCAGGGGAGCTGACATTACAAGCCTGTTTTTCTCTCTTCTGGCTTTGTAAGGTAAGCTGCATTTAGGTTACCAAGGCAAGGCTGAGGGGCTGCACACTACAAAGTGCCTCCTGACCTCAGAAAAAATATTGAATTTAATTCTGTCTGACATTCATAAACTTGCCACTGGTGGCTATCACCTTGATAAACCATCTTATTGTTGATAAAGACAGTCCATAAAACAAACAAGGCTCCACTGCTGCAAAGATGCAGATCAAGTAATTATACATACCTGGGCTCTCATCCTGCTTCAAAGCTCCTACTTCATTTCTGCTGTCACAGGCTCCATCCTTCTCACTCTGGTCTTCTCCCAGACTCCCCTGCTCACCCCCACACCCCTGCCCAGGGAAGCTCTATCCCAGTGGCCAAGTGCAAGCCCAAGACCACGACACTGCTCTGGGACATGGTTTGCTACAGACAGGCACCCAGAGCCCATCAGCCACACTGTGCTGGCTTGCAGGTCACTGCTCTCCCCCACAGACCAGCAGAAGTGCACACAACACAACAGCATCTTTCACTCTTGGCCACACGTATTCTAAGGCTCAGCAGAACAGAAGGGAGTCCTGTTTTCCAGATCACTGTCCACAGGAGCCTCTCGAGCACGGCAGAGCTCAGCTGAAGGGCACTTCACTGCCCCACAGCTCTGTGTGCATGACCAGTATCAACAGAACAGCCTGGCCAGATGGACTGGGCAGCACCAGGCACAGAATGCAACGTTCTCCAAGACACTCACAGAGATTCAAGCCTGATATCTTTATTCTCACACAGCTTATCTATCTCACATCATGTCAATAAACTTTCAACTTTGCTTACTTGTCCTTCCCTCTGCACAGAACACAGCACAATGATTAACCCTCTGCAAAGTAAGAACAAAAAATAACAGATCTGCCCCCAGGCTTCAGAGGACACCAACAGGAGAGAACAATGCCCTGCCTGGTGTGTGGGTGAGGCAGTCAATCACTGCTGAATGGCACTTCTGTCCTTTGGTGTGTCCCAAAGGAAGAGCAGCAGTGCCAGACTCCCGTGCAGCTCTCTGGACCACAGCTATCCCAGCTCACACCCTGTCTGCAACTCCAGCCTGAGGCTACCAAGGCACTACTGTCCAAGAAACACTGAGCACCTCCAAGAGCTTCTTACACACACCAAGAGACCTCCCAGTGATAACAGAGGTTAACAGAGTTACCAGCCATTTAGTGTCTTCTGGATATTAAAATATATAAAAAACCCACAGGCAAACAAACACCAAAACCTCCCAGTGTCAGTTCTCAGATACTTTGCTCCAGTTGCTAGTTTGAAAGCTACAGAAACTTGCTCTATTTTCCTCACCAAAGTGCTAAGTCCAGCAGAGCTGCATGACCTGCAAAAGCAAGGACCTGCCACAGGAGCAGCTGAGCACACCCAAAGCTTCTCCTCCCAACGCAGCCACTGCCTCCCAGCATCCATTCCTTAATTTCACACCACAAACCAGTGCTTGTGCCTTAACCACCTCCTGTGCTCTCCACAGAGCATCTGACTCTAGCATCAGTCCCTCTTACTACTGACAAAGCACCAAAATTTGGAACCCAGGAAGCTGGTTTCCCAGAGACACCCAGCTGCAGCAGAGCTCAGCACCACGCTCCTGCGGCTCTGAGGATGTGAGTTAACTCCTTACATCACAGTCATGCCTGTGCCACCCCTGCCAGGAGCAGCTCACAGCACTGGCAGGGGAATGGCACGGCCACCAAAGGTAAAGCCTTCAGGACAGGACCCAGCTGGCCACACTGAAGTACAGAAGGATCTTTACTCACATGCTGAGCATCACTGCTGTCACATGTTTTAGGTTACACGCACGATAACGTGTGTCAGAGTCCTGAATTTTCATCTATTAGGAGTATTAAGATCAAGAGAGAAAACTGTGGTTGGGAATGAAGTGGCATGTCAGCAACACGGATAGTGGGAAATACTAAGAAAAGAGCTGGCAGCTCTTCAAAAGAGGAAAAACATGAATCAGCAACAGAAGTAGCAGCGTAACGCTTTCAACTCTAGTCTGAAGGCATCATCAGAAGCAAGATGTTCACCCTTTCTGCCCAAGTAGGTGCTGCTCTCTCTGAAATATGCAGTGTAGGACAAGCTGGGGCAAGAAGAGAGCTGGTTTTGGGGTAAGACTCCAAGAACTGTTAAGTCCCATTACTTTCCCAAACAGCCAGGTAAGAACAATTTCCAACTCGTCTACTTACCTGAACTAGATCAAAAGAGTTTAAAAAAATTAAAATAATCAACTGCCAATATAGTCCATACTTATGGACAGTAGTGCTATAAGCTTCTACAAAATATTCTGTGAATTGTTACTTTTCTTCCATTGTTACTTCACCAATCCCATTGAAACTGCAGAATAAATTAGATTCCTAAGCATCAAAAGATTGAGGTCTTGGAAACTCCTTCCATGAGATGTAGCTGCTGCTGTCAGGTCACACTCTGTCCCTGCTAACCCCTGTGCAGCTACTGGGCAGAGGGGAAATGCATCCATGGAGAAATTTTCCTCTTGTTGCAATTTTTCAGCTGGGATCCTGGTACAGAGTGTGGTAAACAGCAGAGTCCAAGACGAGGGGAACAGCTATTAAAAATCCCAGCACTGTGTCCCACCCACATGGCACCAGAACTCCAGTAATGAGTTCTGCAAGGCTGGCTTAGCAGCTTAGCACTCAGGGCAGAAGGAGGCTTCCCCTCCACTCTTAGTTTTGGAGCTTTTATTTCATTAGTCTCAAGAAAACCCAGCACTCCTATTTGCCTAATCCATGTCTGGTTCTTTATTCAGTTCCTGCTGCTGCACATGAGCCAGCCACACGCTGCAGGAACACACCATCTCTTGGAGTTTGCCACCCAGGCACCCAGGGAAAGCAGATGGAGCCTGGCTGTACCCAGCCCTGTGCTCCAGGGGCACCAGCCAGCCCGGGGACACGGCCCAGCACCAGCCCAGGAGAGAGCAGAGAAGCCTTAGAGAGTCACAGTGTGACAGAACATGTCACGAGAAGAAATGCACATTTCACAAAAGGGATTTCTGTATCAACATCCATAAAAATTGAGGGGTGAAGGGTCTAGAGCCCAAGTGTGGGGAGGAGCAGCTGAGGGAGCTGGGGGTGCTGAGCCTGGAGCAAAGGAGGCTCAGGGGAGACCTTCTGGCTCTGCACAGCTCCTGACAGGAGCCTGGAGCCAGGTGGGGGTCGGGCTCTGCTCCCAAGGGACAAGCAACAGGACAAGAGGAAATGGCCTCAAGTTGCCCCAGGGGAGGTTGAGGTTGTCCCTGAGGAACAATTTCTTGCCCTGGAGGGTTGCCCAGGGCTGTGCCAGGCTGCCCAGGGCAGTGGTGGAGTCCCCACCCCTGGAGGGGTTCCCAAGCCACAGAGATGTGGTGCTGAGGGACACGTGGCAGTGGGGACCTGGGAAAATGGTTGGACTAGATGATCTGAAAGGTCTCTTCAAATCAAAATGATTGTGATTCTATGAAAAATTCACAAGCTCAGATGTTACTTCATGTTCAGTGAAGCTTCAATTGGGGAATAAAAGGAAAAACATTTTCCCTAGAGGCATCCAAAGGTCCTCTCTTGCCTTCAAAGTGATCTTTTAAATCCCAACAGGATTAGTGGCCTGACCTACACCATTCTTTTGTCTGCTTGTCTGGCACACAGACCTGCACTAGTGCTTTCCACCAGCTATTGTACTGACCCTAGTTCTTAGGAAACAAAGCTACAGACAAAAAATGGAGCTTACGTGTCTGAGAAGGTCCAACTTACATGCTGGGAAAAAAAAGAAAGAGAAGACAGACAAATATGCTAACACAGAACTTTCATAAACAAAAAGCCACAAATATGTATCCAGAATGTGTGTTGGTATGTCAAAAGTAGGCAAGAAAAATCCCACAGTTCTGTGAGTACCTCAGCATGAGATTCATCAGCTGCAGACCCTCGCCCTTCAGGAACCGATCGCGGTTGGAGCTGAGCATCAGGCAGGAGCAGAGGGAGTCAAAGAGGTTCTCCATCATTTCCTGTTCTTCTGCTGTGCTGGGGTTGTGTCGTTTGAACACCTGCACGAGAAGGAAGGGGAGGTTACCCGAGTGCAGGGCCCACTGCTGCAGTGCACACACACACCTGCTGGCACAAGCCTTCAGCACCCGAGGTGTTTAAGCAGCAGTCACAGGTCACTGACACACGGCCTCTCTCCTGGCTCTGCTGCCCCTTCTCCTGCCCTGACTGCACCCCAGCAAACACCCCGCAGCCCAACACATGGCTTAAAAGACAACACGGGGCCTCCAAAGGGACATGCACAAAATTCACACAGTATGTGGATGAACTTGTTACCAGAGAACTCCTCGGCCCCACGAGCAGCGTGCTGAGGGTGCTGCAGACAGCACGGCCTCAAGAAACAAGGGAACTATGCACACATCACCTTCAGCCCCCTCAAACACAGGCACACTGCAGCCCAGTGCCTGCAGTGGGGAATGCTGAAGATGGCCAAATTCCAACCCTGTCCACCTCCAACGTGCCATTCAATTGTAACAGAATAATTAACTTCTGCATTCCTCAGCGTTAACATCTTTGAAACAGGGATTAAGCTTACTTACTGTGGCTGACACACACGTGTGTGGGAGTTATTTGGGGACCATGTCACCAGCAGACAGAGCCCTGCTGTGCTCTGGTACCTGCAGATTGCCAGGACAGTGCTACACCCAGGACCTGCTCCACCTCCCCACACCCCGCCTGGAGTCTCCAGCTGCAGAGAGGGTGAATTACTCACAGATAACTGCTGAAGCAGCACATCGATCCCATCCAGCTCCCCAAGCAATTCTCTGTTGTCTAGACGGAGGTGGGGGGAAGGGGAAAAGAGGGAGAAAAATGAAGCTAACTGTCAGATTTTACAGCCATCTAACACCGATACATCAGTGAATAAAATCAATACAGCTTGACAGAGTACAAAAGCTGCAGAGCCAGAGAAGGGGCATGGTGTGGGAGAGCTCACACATGGGAGAGAGCACAAGCAAAGGGAAGCCAAAGGCAGAGGCGTGCTGCTGTGACCTGAAAGGAGCCTGGAGCCCACCCTGACCCGTCACCAGCACCCCAGGCAGGTCTCACCATCGTTGTTCTGCAGCAGGATGGCCAGCACCTCACTGCAGTACAGCTTGTTGGCATCGAACGGCATCTTGGCCTGGCAGGGAGGAAGGAGGGAGAGACTCGTCAGGCACAGCACCACCCACCAACACACAACAGTGGTCACTTTGCAGCCTGCCTCAGTGACACAACAGTGGTAAGTGCCTCTGGCACAGGGGTGATGGGGGTGTGCACTCCTGCACGCCTGTGAGGAAACTCAGCTCTGATCCCTCCTGCTGTCCTACACAAGAGGTTGGGTCAAATTGGCTCAAAATGCCCGAGAACAGTCTGCAGTTGCTTGCAAGGCAGAATCTGTTTCCTGGGATAAATCTCCCATGTTGCTGTATGAGTGCAGGGGGCTGATGCCTGTTCTGAGAGTCTGCACTTGGCACCAAACACTGAATTTCAGAAAATACACTACTGTAACATTAAATAGTAACAGACAGTTTTGTAAGAGGATCCCAATGTCATAATCAGAAGAACATGAGATGGGTTTAGCCTGCACAGTCACATAACTTTCATTTCACACATTCCCTCCATACTCAAATATGTGAAAAAAAAATAAGTCATAATGAAACCAAAGCACTGAATTTGAAGAAAAAAAATAAATCAGAAAACCCTGGAGTGAATTCTGCACTGGATCTGGTGATTTTGCATCCTGTGAAAGCTGCTTCATCTACAGAAACTGACTGAACAGCAACCTATCAGACAGTGACACAAACCAGTCCACTGAAGGAGTTCTTAAAACAAACAGAAGGATTTTTAAAATCATCAGTTACCAGCTATTTGCATTCCACTGTTTGAGAGGGGAAAAGGAAGGCCAGCAGTAAGCACTAGGTGTAAAACACAGCCTGTCCCCCCATGTTCCCCCAGACACAGGGCTGCCTGCAGCCTGGCCCAGGAGCCTGCGTGGGGCCGCTCACCCTGACCTGCTGCTGAGGGGAAGGACACAGCACACACAGCAGTGGGCAGAGCCCAGGCGCCCAGGAGAGCTGACTGTAGATAAAGTTCCCACCCCACACGACCCCCAGTGCCAGGCGATGGTGTGTCTGGGAGCCAGCCAGCACTCCCAAGGGAGCTGTGGCTGAGGGCCACCAGCAGCTCCTGCCTCGGAGCACCGGCCACTGCCTTGGCACGGCAAGAGATGGGGAACAGCCCCTGCTGCCCCACGCTGCCCACAGCATTGCCAGGCCTGCTGGTGCCAGGGGAAGGCAGCTCCTGAGCTCCAGCTGAGCTTTCTGACAGCCAGAATACAGTTATGGCACCAGGAATGTAGCTGGGAAATGGGAATCCACACTCCCTGCAGCACAGCTCTGCCCCGGTGCTGAGCAGCCAGGCTAGTCCTTAGCACACCTGTCAGGGCGAGAGACTCCAGGTCGAGTGCTGCCAACAGCAATGGGGCCTGGGCAAGGGTGGATCAGTGTGCACGATGGTGCCCACGGCAGCTCACAAGCAGGAGAAAGCCCAGCCTGGTCACAGCCCCCAAGCCCAGAGCCAGCAGGAGCCCGGGCGCAGGGGAGGCGCACTCAGCACCCAGCCTTGAACACCTTCACCACTCATTTCTTGTGGCACCAAGCAGGGAAATCCAAGTTGCCATTATTTTGCTTTCCCGAGTTTCTAAGTCTTTCAGCTGCCAGAGTAATTACAAGGCAGGCAGCAGAACATACCTGCCTGGAATAAAATTAACTTCACTTTTCCTTTTTAAGCAAAAGGAAGGTAATTACATTACTCCTGTAGCGAGAAATTATCGGTTACTTCTGCTAACAAGTCTGTGAGGTGCACAGAGGGATATCTGCACACTTACAGAGCTGATGGAGTATTTCTGTGATTCAGAAGCCTTCTAACCATCAAGACATCTAACTATGGAAGTGCTAATGCCTCACTAACAGGGTTAGGGAAAAGCCAGAATCCGTTTGCTGAATCTCCTTCCCTACCTCTATAAGACAGCTGAACTACCCACTCCTTTCCTGCAGAATTTTCCAGGGAATCTTTAGGCATCTTTTCACACAAGACAGTTAAACTGTGTAACTCTGCCACAGGATGCTAAGTGCATCAGAAGTAATTTTGAAGAGTTCAAAGAAAAAGCCACTACCTGCAGCAGTTAAAGACACCACTTGAAACTCAAAAAAGGGTTAGAAATGTAGGCAACCAAGGCATAAAATGGTGTTTGAGTTTCCTTGCTCATTGGCCAGTTTTCATATTCCTACAGGACTCAACCAAGGACCAGAAATTCACTGTTCAGGAATTGTACAAACAGAAAAAAGACACTTTCCACTGTAAGATGTTGATAAAGACAAGACAGAACTATGTCCATTTAAACTAAACCTGCAGAAGATACAAACCATGAATTCTAACTTTTTTCCCTTAGCCTGGTTTTCAAACACACACACTTGGGAAACTGGCTTATTTTAATTGATGTGTGAAGTTCATAGTAATGGGTCTAGACTCAATCCTACTGATACTTTTCCAAGCAAGCACTATGAAATTGAGAGTACTTCTACTCAGACCTGCATCACATTGGGTAGAGCTTCTTACACATAAAGCAAATTCCTTCAGTTTTCCTGGTTTACAGTGAGTCAAGATACTCGCCCAGTTACACACTTCCCTGTTTGAGGTGAGCTTTGAACTCACTGTACTCACAAATGTTAGAACTCACCACCACGGAGACAATCTACACAAACAGAAAGAGCCAAGAATAAATAGCCTTGGGCTTTTCAGCTTGTGCCAAAAATCGTCTCAAGTGCACCAGCTTCCAGACCAGTGGCCTGTCAGTTTTTGTTGTGATACGTCCCAAATGACACCAAGAAAACAATCTTACCTTCAGCCTCTTGAGCAGCCACTGCATGAGGCCCTGCTGTGCAGCTTCTGTGCACATCTCTGGTCGGAACTCTGCCATGTTCTCAACGATTGCTGAGAAGAAAGACACAGAAAACAGAGTTTTAACCCTGCCTGCAGCTCAGCTCAGGCCTGTATCAACCCTGCTTTGCCAGGTCCTTCCTAGGGCTGCACTGCTTGTCTCAAAGTTACATTTTATTTCTAAACTACCACTGTTTTGAGTAAGACTTAAGCTCAGGTGTATGATACCCCCTCAGTTTTTATAGTGCCCACACAGTCTGCCCTCAGTGTGACACCAGCTCCTGCTGCAGATACTTCTCTTTACTCCAGCAGCAATTCTCACTGCACCCAACTAAAGTAATTACAACAGTGACAGTAAAAATTCCAAAACTTATGCTTCTGGTCTCTCATTCCTCCACTCCCTGAGAGATTACAATTCCACATGACTGAAGGGAGTGGATGATGGTCTAAATCCTACACAACAGAAGCTGCACCAGGGCCTCCACCACAGCACTGGCAGTTCAAGGGGGAAGGAGGTAGGGAGGAAGGGAAGGGGAGGGACAGACTGTTTTGTTTTGTACAAAATGTGGAAGGAAGAGAGGCTGCACCACAGCCACTTACCCAGGGTGTTGTGGACACCATCAGCTTCCTCTTTCACACTTTCATCCAGGCGCTCTAAGTTCTGGACCAACAAGGCCACAACCTGGCCCTCCACCTAAATCACCAGGGACAGACAAAAAAGGCAACTGAAAAAAGGAAGGTGAAGGATGAAGAATGGGAGAGGAGTGTAATAAATAATAAAAATCAATGAGCCCTGCTGAAACCTCCTGCCAGACATGAACTTGCTCTAAAATCTCAGAGGAAATGAAGGAATCACCAAGTAAATCTGTCACTATCTTTGTCCTAATTAATTAAACAACTTTTGTGTTTCAGATAAACAGAAAAACATCTGGAGGCAAACATGCACCTTGTCACAGTCTTATTTCCTGAACCCATCTGATTGATTTATAATCCCTCAGAATTCTGCAGTGCAAGGCACCACAAACCACCACGGATGGGCTGAGCTGCCAGCTCCACCTTCAGCTGTTCACTGCTCGTCTGCCTGCATTTCTGTTCTCTCCTCCACCTTAACAGGTACAAAATGTTGGAGGAACAACACTATCACACATGGATTCAAACCCAAAAGCTGAGTGTTCACCAGCTGAAGCCTTGCATTTAAATCCTAGCAAGAGGAACGTGCCAGGTTGACTTTAGCGAGCTAACGAAACCCGGACAGATCAGCAGCAGGAGCAGGAACCCACCTCTGCAGATGGAGCCTCCTAATCAAAAAGCTAACACAAGAAATATACTTTTACAGCTGCAATTGGCCAGAATCCATCCTGACTTTGGGCAACTTGCCATTGCAGACATCAGCTTGGAGAAGTTAAACAAAATGGCATTTCCAACTGCAACCCTGATGACCGGCTTTGGGCCCCGTTGAGCCTGTGGTGGAAATTAAGTACCAGCTGCTGGGGAAGGCAGTGCAACAATCTCCAGATACCCTACAGTCCACCTGCTGCCTTAAAAAAAAAAAGCAATTGAAAAAGCAGATATCTAAACATTTATCCCAAGATATGCCTGACCTGTTTCTTTCAAAGAGGACAATAAAACCTCTAAAACTTGGCTACTGTCAGCAGGCTGGTGACAAGGAAAACAGAGAAAGACCTTCACTTGATTTACTGCCTCTCTGCACATTATAGAAAACATGGTCCCTAGCAGCTCCTCTCTCCCACTTCATTCATCCCTGAAGGCAGAGAAATTAATACAGCCCAGGGGGCAGCTGGAGGAACTCGGCAGCTCCAGGCCACTGCCATTAACCTTTGGAAGTAACATTATAGTGACTGGACAAGAACTGCAGGAGAAGACAGAGCAGCCAAACAAAGCAAACAAAAGAAAACCCATAATTTCCTGTCTTTCCCTTTCAACATAATAGTTACAGAACAAGACACACTGCCTCACAAACACAGCAATTCACTGGCAGAGGCTGCTCCAAGGTAGGACAGACACGTAACTCTCCAGCTTGGCTGGGCATTACTTCCCTGGAGGGGTTCTGCTGTTCAGAGTCCCCTCCTGCCACCAAGGAGCCAGAGGAACCCACCACAAGCACCACGAAAAGGGCAAGTCCAGCACCACCAAAGAGGCCAAGAGGCACCCGAGGGAGTTAACCAGGCAGGAATCATGTAAGACCAGGCAGCCCACTGCGTGTAGATAATGAGCTGGGGTTGCTTAACCTCTGTGCCAAAGAACTATTACCTCTAAACCCTCCTCCACCTTTAAGATACATTAGCTCTGTCACACAAAAATTTCCAGGCTTTTAGTTCTTGTTCAGAACAATGTGTGCTGATACCATAACAAGAGGTTCCAGTTCAAGCACAAATTTTTGGGTTTGAAACAAGCTACTGGCTAGGAGATGGCTGGTCTCCCATGCAAAAGGTTAGACTGAGAGACCACAACTGCCCTGCCGACCTTCAGATAACGATCTGAGCCCTGCCACAAACCCCCACTGCTCAGGAGCAAACACAGGTCACCCTTTCCACCAGCAGGACGGAAGATGCACATCGAGCACGTGGCACAGGGCACTGTCCAAGTCACAGCTCTTACTTCACTCTCCCTCCCTGCACAAAAAAAGTCTCCCAGCCTACACAAATTTTGCAATTATGAGCGTGTTCCTCCCAAAGGAGAGGTAGACAAGGTGCATGAAGAACCTACTCCCCAGGCACTGGCACTCCATCCAGAACACCCACTGTGGTCAGCACCTGACATAGAAGGGAGCAGGCTCCCATCCTGGCTGCCTTCCTCACCGTGGGGGCAACCTGGGTATCCACAGGGGCAGGAGGCATGGCAGGGCAGAGGATTCACTGCTGGGCTGGATGAGGCAGACATTGTTCAGGAGTTGAAATAATCTGTAGTTTATACTTACCAGAGCATCTATGAGGACTTCAGCTCCTTCTTCACTCTCATGGAGAGTATCTATATCAGTCAGCTCTTGGAGCAAGTCTACCACAGCAATGGAAACATGTGCTGGGTGTTAAGGACAACCAATGCTGAGACTGACACATCTAACATCAAAAGCAGATTGCTCTTAGGCCAGCATGCTCATGGCAAGATCCAAACTGATAACACACTCCCACAGCAGGGCACAGCAACACGAGTGCCAGGAGCACAGAGACTGCCCCAGCATACAGTCCTCAAAGCACCAAAACTGGGGAATACTAGCAAGGACAAAACCAAAGGTGGTTGTGTGGTTGCTGTACCAGGCAGTGTTACTGTTTCTGGCAGTATTTGCTTTCTGATTCTTTCCAATCAAAACTGCTGGAGTTGGTATAACCAGGCACCACCTTGCACTGTCCAGATTGAGAATAAGCCAAGAAAACTGAGTTACAATAAGGAGATTTGGGTATTCTGCTCTGGGTGATGCCCTGCTAACCTGGCATGGCCTGGGCCTAACGAGGGCACTGCAGGAGGCAGGAGCAGCCCTGCCTCTGCCCAGCCCAATTAGGACAGCACGCTCCTCTAGCCACAGACCTCACAGCAACAGCACAGCTTCTGCCAGCCCAATTTCCACTCATTAACTCTGGGCTGCATAACACACGGCTCCCCTGACTGCTACCCAGCTCTCCTGTACGACCAGATGAATTCCACCTCATTAGACCCACTCTCCTATTCTCTCAGACACGCTGATCAATCTTGCCCAGGTCCCACTGGGCTAGGAGAGGATCCGCCGCCTTCTGAGTGTCCTATATAACAACTTTGTGATGAATCTCTTTAAAATGCACAGGCTGACAGCCCAGCCTCCCAGTTCTCCCCTTCCTGCTTTTGCTCAGGCACACAAGCAGCAAGAGGAAAAACATTTTCTTGTATCTTCTCTAAGCAAGGTTTGAGCTGGGACTTACCTAGTCTCAGGACAGACTAGGAGAGAGCTGCCTGTCCCAGTCCCAGGCTCAGCCACATCTAGGTGATGCAGAAGATGTCTATCAGTAAAATTTTTTACTTTCTTTACATTGTACATCCCTCCATAACCAAGCCAAAGCTATCTGTACGTTTTCTTCATGAGTAGATCTCACTTCGAGTGGCAAATGCCATAAGGAACCAAATGGGAGGGTGGTTACTCCCTGGGCAGACAGTCACCCATGCTTATACAAAAACATGGCAAAGGGGTGGGGGTACAATTTTTAAAAGCAAGCTGGAGCATGTCTCCATAAGGAAGTTAAGAGAAAATAATCTGCCTTACACTTATTCTGCAAGGCATCAACTATTAACTAACAAAAGCTGGAGGAACAGGCCAACAGGAACCTCGTGAAGTTCACCCAGTGCCAAGCCCTGCACCCAGGAGGGGAGAAGGGGAGAAGCCCCTGTGCTGGGGCTGACTGGAGAGGTGAGTACTGACGAGGAGAATCTGGCAGTGCTGGGGCACAAGTGGGAGGGGGGTCAGCAGCGTGCCACTGCAGTGGCAAAGGCTCATCACAGCCTGCACGGCATTAGCAAGAGCAAAACCAGCAGGCCAAGAGACTGAGGGCGTGGGGTTTAGGCTGGATCGACCCGCAGAAGAGAAGCCTAAGGGAGGAACTGCCTGCAGACTGCTGCTGCCTGCTGAGGGCTGTGAAAACAACCCAGCCTTCTCTGAGAGCACACAGCAAGAGCTCCAGCAGCCAGAGGAGCTCTCCGTGCAGGGCATCCCGGTCCAGGGAGCTTCTCTCGAGGCTTCCAGTGAGAGTATCAGTTGTCCTGTAAAATTCAGGAGACAGAAAAGCAAAACGTCACTTGAAGCCTTCCTGCCTCTCGTTAATGAAGCCCTGTCAGAGATCCTCTTTCATTCACGTTTTGTGCAAAGCTGCATGAATCATTCAGCAGATGATTTGCTCCCTCTGGACGCTGCTTTTGTCTCCTTGCATTAGTCCCTCCAGACACTACAGTTAAATCACATCTGAAGAGCCATTTGTTTAGTTCTCTCCTTGAAGAACTCATTTTAAAAAAATCTTTTTCTATCTGTTTTAGCAAAAAGTCATTAGAAAGCTTGAGCTGTATCCATTTAGTTTTACATCTAGATGCTTCACTTTAACAGCATTTCTCTTGTGAGCAGCAGCAGCACAGTGCAGAGGTGTTACAGAGCTGGATCGGAAAACACTTCAGCAGCACTTTTATAACAAGAAATACACTTTTCCCAAAACTGCAATTCACAGGCCAAATTTCCACCCGTAAGCTAACTGACAGGCGAGCCACAAACCAATTAAAAAGAGCTCGTGGTGGAAACACTGACAAGCCTCTGACAGCAGCAGTGACCCCAGGACACAGCTCCCCACGGCTGGAAGGACAAAGCAGGCTGTGCTCCTGCACAGCTCCAGACCAGAGCTGCTGGCCCAGGCAAAATCCCCACACTTTCCATTTCCCTTGTCAATGAAAAATTCAGTAGAAGCTTTTAATGCCATGCACATATTACAAGGAAAGCCTGCAGTGCCTTGGAAAAAAAAGTAATGAAGCTACGGCAGACATGAAAGTGGTGATGCATGGCAGGTGCTTCCCACTGCACAAGAGTAAATTGTTAACAAACATTTACTTGAGAGCAATTTCCATCAGAGGGCACAGATAAGGGAGGCTGTGGCGCAGGGCCCAGCACTCACCACATCAGGGTTCAGCCAGACACAAGCCAAATACCCAAACACAGAAGCAGTGCTTTCTGATATAAGCTGCAATAAAATATTTATGTTTGGGTTTTATCTTCTGATCACTGAACCCACTTAGAAAGAATGAATTATGAATTCTTCATTCACAGTACTGTAAGGAAAGGTGCTGAGAGGGACAGGGGGCTCTCTGTGTCAGAGCACAACGTTTAGCACTAACTGTCCTTCCAGCACTGCATATTCCACAGCGCTGACCAGCTCTTCCCAGGAGTTTTATCTACTTCTTTACACATGCAAAAAAGAAGGAAAGAATAAATTACTTCCCTAAGGTCATGGATCAATAAAAAGGAAAAAAGAAAACCCTGCTGGAGTCCCAGCTCCAAGCCCTCCACACCAGTCTCCACTGCCCCCTCCACTCACTCACTTTTGCCAGGACACGGACACACAAGCTCCAAAATCATGTTACAGTTTTTCAGCTTAATCCTCTGTAGAATATTCTACAAGCAATGCAGGCTGAGCTCTGCTTTTGAAGACTATGGGAAGCTAGGCACAGGTCTAAGTATCAGCTGATGACCAAGCATCAAGGCACCAGGTCATTAAAAAGTGACACCGCTTCTTCAGAACAGCCGAAATCTTTAACACTATTGACAGAAAGCTCTCCTGATATCTTCAGAGGAACCAGAGAGAGGTGCACAGAGGGATCAGGTTCAGTGACACAAGAACTGAGCATGGGAAGTCTCTGGATGTTTACATAACCAGAGGGGCTACCCCCAGCCTCAGGCTCTGAGCACACCAAGCCACACACAGACACACCAAGAATTTATCCCACTGACCCGCTGAGCTGCAGTGCTGTGGTGAGCAGGTCCATGGCCAGCAGCTGGGTCACTCAGTTTCATTTTTCCTGGGGGCTGTTCCAGACTGTCTGCATGCAGTTCAAGGCTCCCTGCTGCTCAGCCCATAACCTGAGCTTCCCCTGCACTGCTCATCTGTTCACACTCTAAAGCAGCCACACAAACCGAGATGAAAGGGCCATAAAACAAGAAAGGAGAATAACAGCACTGAAAACAATTCAGAATCAATATTAGCTGAACAAAGCAGGCTTTCACTTGGGGGGTTAAAAGATAGACATAAATTTAGTGTGGTGGGAAAGAAGAGACAAACATCTAGAGGAGCCTGTGAAAGCAGGATATGAGAGATTACAGCAAAGTCTGCAGAAAGCCTCTCGTGTGAGAGCTGCCTGAACAAGTGAAGGATATCCGTGTTGTCGTGGCCCAGCAGCCCCAGGAGAGACTGCACAGCATTCAGCTCCACCAGCAGGTGGTACAGGTCTGGCATGGTGGCGATCACATGCATCTCCTGAATGATGTCATTTAAATCCAGTTCCGACTCCATGAACCTGAGGCAAGACACAAAACGTTCACAAGAAGACAAGAAGTGCCCCAGCTGTGTTCAGTGCACAGCCCTTTTCAGAGCAGGCAGTGCCAGGAGATGCCCAGCCACACCTGTCACCCCAGCTGCATGTTCCTGGTCCTCCCTGGTCACACCAGCACCACTGGAGTGAGGAGCAGTGAGGAGTCCTGAACTCCCAGAGGCAGTCTGGGCCTCATCCTGCCCTAGGCCTCCCCTCCAAGTTAATCATGGAGCAGGATAAGCCTTCCTACTACCTCATTTGACAGAGAGTAAACAAGCAGATTTGTTCCAATTCTGTAAATCAGTTCTAGAACTTAAAAAAAAAAATCAAAAGGTCGTAGCTACACACAAAACCCCTGCTTAAAAAATAAATTCTCCAGAGAGATCCATCTTCCCTAGCTACCACCTATTACTATGGGGGTTCTACCAGTCTGAAGTAAAGCCCATCAAGGGAATTTGGGTAAGGGAAAAGAACAGAGAACTGGGCACAAAATAACAGCACTCAAGGGCAGGAAGAAACTCATTTAACGTGAGCAGCGAAGCTCTGTGAGAGAGGAAGGGGCTCACTGGAACTGCAGGCGTGGGAAGGGATACACACAGGGCCTGGCTTTCAGACCCCATCCCACTGTCTTGCTCACCACAGTGTCTGAAAGCTCCTCCACAGGAAATTTTCTTCCCACACAGACCACTGACTGCACAAGCAACACCTTCACACAGAACGATGGCACCAACTCTTTAATTATTTGGAAAGCAAAACCCACCAATCCAGCATCTCACTCTTCCAGCCCCCCCCCCCCAAGGCCCCACCACCTGCCCACCCACCAGGAGGAGACCACTGCTGGGACACAGCACAGGGGAGGAGCCCCCCCAAAAAGAGAGACCTGCAGGGGTGCTGGTGAGCCTCTGATGCCAGCTGCCAAGAGCACTGACATGGAGGGAGCTCCTTTCTGCTCACTTGGCAGAGCCCTGGATACCCAAACCAGAACTAACAAAACCCAACAAACTGGTGCACTCCCAAAACAAAACCAACATGAACTCGAGCTTTAGTACTGAGGTTTCACAGTCTATAACAACAGTAAGAATTTAAGAAACTAGAACCTTTCTCTTCACTGCTAATCACTCTCTTGATGCTGCCAGCCACGTCCTGGCCACCACCAGGCTCTTGATAATGGCACCTTAAATTGGCAGAGCTGGTTTCAAAAACAATTGAGAAGAACTCCATGGTGATAACTGCTGCTACATCAGCCTTATGTAACTGCAAATGTCCATGTATTCAAGAAACTGATTTAGGGCTGAAGCCCAAAATCAAAGGACAAAGGGGTAATAGAGAGGGGCTGAGCATAATCTTACTTCTCTGGATTGTCAGGAAACTTGATCCGCAGCTCCTGGTTTTTGTAAGATCTCTTCTCAAAGGTGAGAATCATCTTCTTCACTGAACTTTCATCCAAAGGTTCCTCCTAAACACATCAGAAAGGGCAGAAAACAGAGCTTAGGATGACTGGAACAATTATCCAGCAAAAAGCAGAAGAGTGAGTACAGCAAGGTGGTGAGACTGCAGCCAGGCCCAGGAACAACTGGCAGCCCCTGGAGCTCTTGGGGCAGAAAGCTGCCAAAGGCCTGACCCCCACTGCCACTCAACCACTGCCTGACTCTGGCTCAAGCCAGATCCTCACAGCAAAACCTTGTGAGTCAGGTTTTATAGACCAGGGATTGACCAGTGGAAGGTTCTTTGGGAAAGAACCAGAAGAGCTTTCCTACACTACTACAGAAGAACAACCAGAAGCCCTTCCCTACCACAATAACAACTGAAAAGGCCCAAACACCAGGCAGGTTTTCAGTGCCCCATCCTCCCCGAGCTGTTACCCAGCACCACTGGTGCAGATTGAGGCTTTCTGCTTCTGACTCCTTCATCCACATGAGCAGGTGACACCCACAGACAGTTTCTTTTCACAAGTCCATTTTTCTGGTTTTTTTCATAGGTCTACATTTAAATGCCCTGAGTTTATTTTCTGTCCTGTTTTCCTCACTTGGATAAGCTTTCACCTCTATTTTAAAGCCTTTCTCTAAAGAAAAAAAAAGTCAATATTTTACCTAGTACTTTCTTTTTAGTTTTGAAATTCTTCTAAGGTGTTTCCCCGTTGGCAGGACACATTTACTGCTCAGGAGTAATAGAACTTCAGTTACCTCCCTGACACCTACAAACACAATCTATTGTTTTCCTTGTTTCACAACTTTAATGTACTTCCTTTAATAAAACATTGAGGATATAGATTTTCTTGTGTAACCTCTTCCCTCTCTTTTATTTGACTATGTTTCAATCACTATTAAAGAGAAGTTATCAAAACAAAACCAAACCAGAAGCTTCCACATCTTAAGTCTAGTTCTGTGTCCCACATCCTGTTCAGGATTAAATCAAGAGTTGCTTCTGATATTGGAGATTCTTTGGTTAGTAACTCTGAGCAACAATCTTGTACAAGAGATAAAATCTCTGTTTCTTCAGCAAACTCCATTATAACACCACCACCAGTCCAAGTCTTCTGTTGTTGTTGAATTTCCTACATTCTGAAGCCCAGCCTGGCTTAGCACCATCCCACTCATGTCATCAATGCTGCAGTGCCCAAGCCATGTTCTTCCTGCAATGGCATTTCAACCCACAAAGACACTGTCACAACACTGATGCTGCTTCCCCCCATTCTGTTCCCTTCTTTGCTTTCTTTAACATAGTTCTACGATATCTCCATCAGGATTGACTTTGTGTCTTGCATTTAATTTGCATTCAGTATTACAGCATCCTACAGATTAGCTTCCTCCCATCAAATTTACTGCTACAAAGCACATTTACACAGCACTTACATTAACTGCCTTCCAAGATAATAAAAAGACATTTTGGTTCTAATGAAGCCTTGGACTTCCAGCCCTCAAAATGTCTGAATGGGAGAACTCCACCTGACAAAGACAAGGGACTTGGACCTTGCAGGAGGCCACAAGACTCCAGCCAGTCAAGAGGACTTCTGGCTCAGGGGAGCCCAAATGCTACAGAAATGCTGTGTTACCCTCCTCTGCTATCAGCAACCACTGTAACAGCAAGAGCCCAACCCAAAAACCGAGGGGGCTTCTCAGAGGTGAGTGCCAGCAAGGCTGCATGCAGAGGACAGTGATGTTCCACAGACCTGCTGGTTCTGCAGGGGGAAATATCACTTGGGTTTTTATCAAACAGGACACAGGCAGCAGGAAGCAAATATCTTCTAGATTTATACCAATCCATGTGTCACATTTATAAAGTGATCTTTTCCCTGGCCCTTGGCAGAAAGGCCAATGCTGCATTGGATTTCTGTCTCCGAGGCTTGAAATCATTTCCCCCCGGCAGCTGCTGCCCCCCTGCTCTGACCCAAGGCCCTTCTGGGACAAAAGGACGTCTGTTTATTTGCTGCTGCTCAGCTACAGAGAGGGGGAGAAGCTGCGTGACTGGGGGTGCTGGTGTAACAGTAGTTACTTTCTGTATCCTAACCAGCTTCCTATCTCCTAAAAATCTGTTTTAGAATGTGATTTGGATATTCCCAGGCTAAAACCGAGATCAGTCATGAAAGCTTTTCCTTCTGCACCCCCCCTACCCCTTTAAACCTTCAGAGGGCACTGCTGAAATTCACGAATGCCCCAGAGGGCAGGAGAGTGAGCCCAGAGCCTTAAGCTGTCTGAGGGATGTGAAAGTCACCAGTTAGTCCCATCATCTGTGCGGTAAGAACTGGAAACCACAGGGCAGTGATTTAGTGTTTGCCTATTTCCCACCGCCCCCCTTCTCCCCCAGGGCGGTGGTGATTTACTTCCTCCTCTTCCTCCTCTCCATCCCTCTCGATTATCTGCAGGAGTTTCTTCTTCTCGTCCTCGGTGTCCTCCAGCAGAGCAGACTCCTCCTCCCGGTGCCGCCCGTGCTCCCGGGCGCTCGCCTGCTTCCGACGGGCTTTGATTTCCTCCTCCTCTTCATCACGGGGTCTTTTTGTCCCTCTGTTAGGCTGAAGTCAGAGAAACAAGGCAAATGAATACAAGTCTTCTGTGACCTTTGCAAACCAAAATACCAATACTGAGGAAATTCTTACAAGTATCTTTAAACATTTGCTTACACAACGCTTAACAGCTGCGAAAGCGAGGAGGGAAATTAATGGAGTGGAGTGGAACATCACGTGGGCAGATGAATGGCTCTGCCAGGAGCTGTGTCAACAGCCCACCTTGTTTGATCTATGAACACGATCCAAGGAAAATATCTCCGTAGGCAGCAGCAAAGGCAAGTGCTTCAGAGAGAAGCAGTGGCCAGGCTGAGCTGCCCAGTGGCCACCCAGACCACCCCGAGGAGCTGGAATCAGCCACCCCAGCAGAGCCCACCTCCTGCTTCTCACACCAGCCAGCAGGCTCCAGCAGACAGCAAGGACAGGATTTTTCACCTGCCAAGTATGTGAGCTTTGACTGAATTCCTGTGTGCATCCCAATCCACCTTGACCTCCCTCACCCTGCAGCGTGAGCTCCCGGGGCAGGGTGTGCAGGACAGGCTCCTTGTGGCTCCCTGCAGCTCCTCGGGGCTCAGCACCAGATCAACCTCCAGGGTCTGCCTGGAAAAACCCACTATTTTATTCCATCTCTAGCCCATTTATTCCAATTCTATTTAATTGTCAAAATTAGAGGTAATTTGCCAGAGACAAGAAGTCCATTAACCCTAAGCCATGTTTTATTTTACGCAGAGAGAGATGAAAGCATTTGCAAGAGAAGGAAAAACTCTCTCCCTTTAAAAGCTACAAGGCTATTAAATTCAGTCTTTCAAATTTTTTTGAAGGACAACCAAGCTGGAACAGGAGCACTCCATGCTCCATAACCACAGGAAAACAAAGCCTAATTCTTTGCTATTTAAAAGGAGACCGTGGGTTAAGAACAATGAAAGCTGTAAGAAAAATATTTGTACTTTCCATCACTGCTGCTGTTGCCTGGTAGATGACTTTGTAACCCCGTGAGGTCTAACACCCATCCAGCCTACCCCACGAGACATTACTTGGCAGGAAGACCCCATCTTCTGCTCTGTGGGACCCTCTGTCTAAAACCCTACACGTCACACCCTGCTCTCACGAACACAAGCCTTGGGTTTTAACCAAGATTTGGGTTCTTCTTGGTTGTGATGCATAGAAGGATGCAGAGGGAATAGGTGTCAGTGCCCTCCTCCTGCCAGGCCTCTGCTGTGATCCCTGTGATGATGTGCATGCTGCAGACCAGCTGCAACTGCAGAACCCTGAGAGCATTTTCATGTTTATTTACTTCAGTAGAAATGAAAAGCCAGCAGTGAAAGCTCTGCTCTTATCAAACTCTGCTTTCAGGAGAGATGTGAGAAAACAAAAACCACCAAACCAAGACCCTCTGAAAAGCACTTGTGTTAATTACAATAAGAAGCAAACAAAACGCAGAGTGGCCATGACCACACTGTTACCACTCTGAGGAAGATGCAAAATCAAGTTTCCCAGGCAACATATTAGCACAAATCAGAGCTCTAGAGGCTTGTGCTCAGCCAGAGCTACTCAGACTCTGCCATCCATCTCCCCACTGCCCACACCCTCCCTGCTGCTCCCACCACGGACGGCACGTCCCCAACGCTGGGCTCCTCCGAAGCGCTCCCGTGTGCCCCACAGCAGCTACTCAGCTCATCAGCCCAACGCCCTGAAGCAGAAGCACACACAGAGATTCTCTGAAATGAAAAATTTATTTGCTTGAAGAGTTTTGTGGGTTGTTGGGGGCTTTTTTTGGTGGTTGTTAGATCCATTTGGAAGCAAATGTGTCAACAACTCATAACTCAAACCGTCCACAAGCTATCAGCAACCCAATAAGGGATAGAAAAAGAAAAAAGGACCTCTTCCAAATGACATCATCTAAGGGGGAAACATCAGGAAATATCTATTACTCAGTGTCCTTAATGGCACACAGGTCTCTGTCCTTACTGTCCTTGCACTCGCTCCTCAGAAATACCCACTGGATCTGAGCCACCCTTCACAGACGAATGTTCCAGACACAGAAACTAGTGACACCCAAGTCCTGACATTTATAGCAAAAAGCCCTACAAGACCTGCCTTGGATGTTCCCAGTTTAGGGAGGCAGGCTCTCACACCTCCCTCATTTCTCCCCATCACTGAAGGATCAGGGCTGTGACGAGGGGCGGCCGGAGCTGCCGACGCAGCGACAAGGCCAGAGCAAAACCCAGCCTGAAGCCCCACCAGGAGGCAACACCACTGCCCAGGGCACAGCCCTCAGTGCCACGACTCACCCCCCACCTCAGGCTCAGGTGTTCATCCTTCCTCCTGTGCACGCACCGGGGGAAGAAGGAATCTTCTATTCCAGACTCACACCAGCAATGATGATGACAAATCAGGCAGTGCCCCGCGTGCAGTTATTAATGCTGCCCAGACACCTGAATTCCTGGGCAAATGCCATTAAGCAGGCATTAAAGTTCTTCCTTTTGATACTGATGTTATGCACAACCTCACTCAGAACACTGCAGTTTTCCAAGCAGCCCTGTTAACACAAGGAGAGGGAGGCGTGAGGGGAGCGCCCGGGCTCTGCCCTGCACACGAGGGGCATGCTGAAGGCAGCGCTCACTCCTGCCTGATCCTCACCTTGGGTTTGTGTTTGTACCTTCTAGAGGGCTTTTAACAGGCCTGAATGCAACATTGCTGTGCTGAGAGTGCTGCATCTTGATAAGCAAACACATATTTTGTGTCTAAACACATTTATTTAAATAATCTCATAGGTTCACACACATCTACTCAAGTTTCGCATTTCCGATAGAAAAGGGAAAATTAATCATTCCATAAATAAAATGGGGGGGGGGGTTTAGTCAGTTCTGTTAAGGTGCATTTGGCAAGAAGATGGAATTCATTAGAAAATGCACACGAAAAGCATTTTTAAATTGTTTTTGTTTAGTTAAGCCTAATATTGTTCCCGTTGAATGGAGTGCATTCACAGTCATTTATCCCAAAGACATTTTCATTTCAATCTAACACTGATATCACCACACAAAAAACAACAGACACCACAGGGTTTAAAAAAGCTGACATTTATAATGAAGCAAATGAAGTAAACAAAAGCTGGTGATCAGTCAAGGGAGGATTATCCCCCTGCCTCCCCCCAGCTGTACTTGGACACTGACTGGCGTGCCCTGAGCCCTCGCGGCAGGGCTGGGGGTCTGCAGGCAGATCCACTCTGGACACAGGGCCTGGCCCCAGCACAGCAGCTGCACCCACCCCCTCTGCAGGAGGGTGGGGGATGGCACATCCCAAATCAGAGAACAAGACCTGCCCAGGGCCCTGCTCTGTGTCCCTCAGAGCTGTGGCTGCAGGTTAATACAGGGACTGAGCACCCCAGGGAACCTGACCACGTGCTGCCCAGGCCCCCGAGTCCAGCCTCCTCCACACATCAGGAAGCTTGAGAGAAGTCTCAGTAATGGAGTTTCATATTACTGAGACATCTCCTTGGTAAGTAACCTCGTTACTGTGAAGCTCAGGAATCCTGTTAATGGAATCTGAGATGAACCCTCCCAAGTGGAGCAGGTTCTGGGAGCACATCCCAGGTGGCTGCAGCCCCCCCGGAGAGCCAGGGCCCAGCACCCCCAGAGCTGTCACTGCAGCACCCCTGCAAGCAACTCCCACATCCTCCTGAGGCATCTCCACTGACTTCTCACTCTGTTTCCTACACTTACAATAAACCAAGGTACTGTCAGTCTTACTTCCAATTGGTTTTAACTCCTGAAGCATGACATGTTCTGGAGTCGTGGAGTCTCCTTCTTCTGGAGAGATTCCAAACCTGCCTGGGCAGGATCCTGGGCACCCTGCTCTAGGTGACCCTGCTGGAGCAGGGGAGCTGGAGGAGATGATCTCCAGAGGTCCCTTTCAAACCCCCTCCCCATGCTGGGAGTCTGTGATACTTCTAGCTAGTGCAGGATCTGAGCATTAAAAACCAGAAGAGCCAGCACCAGAAAAATCCAGAACTCTCAAGAAGTCCCCAGAGCCCCAAAATGGCACAGACTGAGGCAAAAGAAATGAGAGATCTGCACGGTACCTACACAGACATGGGTTATTTCTGTCAGAGGGAACACCTAAGCAACACCAGTGCAAATCACCAACAACCGACTGGCCGAGCTCCTCTGCCCTCAGCTGCATCCCCCTTCACCCCAAACTGCCAACCCCAGCAGCAGAAACTCCTCACACAGAGCTCCACCCACGCCAGGCTGCCCCTGCCCCGCTGACGCGGCAAGGAGCTCGCCCAGCACGGTGGAGTCGACCCCTTCCCACTATTTACTGCTGCTTTTGTCATCCCACTTCACTAACGTCCCACTAACAAACCAGCAATTTGCAACGATCCTTCACAGTGGAGAAACCCGCATTTAATGGGAATTCAAATCATCTTCCTTATTCCCACGCAGGCCCGTTGACTGAGACACCTGGAGGAGCCGGGGCG